CAGCGCCGATTCGAGAGATCCGCGCGGATCCTTGTGCTGTTTCGTTATTCTTCTACTCTCTTCGACCACGAGGCAATCGACACCGCCTTCGACCCGCTCAGTCGTTGGTTGGTCGTAAGTGGGGTGGTGTCGTAGGTGGCTCGTAGGTGGTGGTAGGTGGGCAAGTGCCCACTGCGCTTTCAGCATCACTGTGCCTCAGGTGGAGTGGTGTCGTTTGGTCTTCTTATCCGAGGACTTCTGTCGAGGACGGCCCTCTTGGATGCTGGTGCGATTTGCTGGGCCCGCGGGGCAGGAGGCCCGGCGACGGGGCCCCACGCGGGGGAACGAGGCACGCACGTCTATGCACGAATCAGCGCTCGTTGGTGGGACGGCCTCCAGGTGCGCGTAGCTCAACGATTGGGCCCAGAAGGTGGTTTTCCCCACCCACCCTGATGTCGGGTCCTTGTTTTGACGAGACAGTCCCCGCGTTCTTCCGCCTCCTTCCTCCTCGTCTGCTCCTCTTCTCCCCCCTCCTCCCGTCACCCCCCTCACGTCGGTGCACCCCTGACACGTTTCGTGACCCCCACAGGAGCTCCACCGAAGGTCCCCGTGGCGCAGCCCGCATGCGCCCCCGCCGCCCATTTTGGCACACCCCTCACGTTTCGTGGCCCCGTGGGTAGCTCCACCGAGTGTCCCAGTGGCGCAGCCCGCATGCGTCCCCGCCACCCAGTTCGGCACCCCCCTCACACGTTTCGTGGCCCCAGAGAAGCTCCACCGAAGGTCCCAATTGCGCAGCCCGCATGCGACCCCGCCACCCATTTCGGCATACCCCTCACACGTTCCGTGGCCCCCATAGGAGTTCTACCGAGTGTCCCAGTGGTGCAGCCCGCATGCGTCCCCGCCGCCCATTTCGGCACACCCCTCATACGTTTCGTGGCCCCATCGGAAGCTCCACCGAGGGTTCCAGTGGCGCAGCCGACATGCGTCCCCGCCACCCATTTCGGCACACCCCTCACACGCTTCGTGGCCACATAGGGAGCTGAACGTTCCAGTTGCGCAGCCCGCATACGTCTCCGCCATCAATTGTGACACACCCCTCACACGTGTCATCACCCCAGAGGAGCTCCACCGAAGGTCCCAGTGGTGCAGCCCACATGCGTCCCCGCCACCCATTCCGGCATACCCCTCACGTTCCGTGGCCCCATCGTGAGCTCCACCGAAGGTCCCAGTGGCGCAGCCAGCATGCGCTCCGTCCCTCCTCCTCCTCCTCCTCCTCCTCCTCCTCCTCCTCCTCCTCCTCCTCCGCTTCGCGCGCTCTGCGCGACCGCGCGCGCGGGGAGCGGCGCGGCGCCGCCCGCCGGCATGGGCCGGTGGTTGACGTCGCTGGCGGCCAGCGACGACGCTGGCGAGGGCGCCGTGAAGGCCGAGGCCGCCGCTGCACGGCGCCGTTCGTCTCTCTCTCTCTCTCTCTCACTCTCTCTCTTTTTTTTTTTTTTTCTCTCTCTCTCTCTCTCTCTCTCTCTCTAAGAAGAAGAATAAGAAGAAGAAGAATAAGAAGAAACATAATAATAAGAAGAAGAATAAGTAGAATAACAGGAAGAAAAAATAATAAGAAGAAGAAGAGGAATAATAATAAGAAGAGATAGCGGCATACACATATATGTTTGGCGCTCCGCGCGGATTTCTTGGATCGGCGCCCAGGACCCCCAGGCGGAGCGCGCCAGGGAGGGGCGGTCCAGCGCAGATCCAATAAATCCGCGAGGAGCGCCAAAAGTTCATGTTTGTGCAGTGTTTTGTCTTCTGATCGCGGGTGGCTTCGGCTGGCCAGCGCACTCGATCCGCGGCCGACTCTTGTGTGCACTGTGCCGCGTTTGCGTCTCCCGAGGCATCGTCGGTCCTCGACCCAGGAAGGGTGCGGCGCACAGGCTTTCGGCCCTCGGGGCCGAGAACCTGTGCGCCGTAGCGCGTAGGAGCGCGGCCTGAAGGGAGTCTAATCATGGTGCGGAGGTCGGGAACAGTTCTAGTACTCGAGGAAGAAAGATTGGCAAAAGCATACCCTTTGGGAGGCCCACGCGGATTTCTCGGATCGGCTCTGGGCCCTCCTGGCGGCGCCTCTGGCGCTGCCCCTGGCGCGCTCCGCGCGGCAGGGAGGAGGCTCCAGCGCCAATCCAAGAAATTCGCACGTACCTCCGAAAGTTTCTGTATGTGACGTTTCTCTTTCTCTAAGCACCGACCCTGACGGGGGTTATCTTGGTGCCAGGATCTTTGCAATACAGTCAACCTGCATAGGAAGGATGGGCAACCTTCCCAAAGGTACCCTTGCATCCTTGCCCCTTCGGCCCATTCCTAGCGACTCTCGCTGGCCAACCTCGTTCGAAGGACGTTCACATGGGCCTCCACGGCCCTTGCATCTTTACCTCGCGACCTCATGATACGGGTCGACTGTAGGCCACTTTTCGGCGGCGTGCCGAGGGGGGAAGTGAGAGGGGGCATGCCCTCCCGGTAGCTGCATCCTCGCGCGCACGACTGCGCGCTGCAAGCGCTGACCTGCCAGGTGACGACATCACGCGCGCGCGAGCCCGACCCCTCCACCTCCACCTTCCATACTTTCCGACCTCCGCAGCGATTTTGGCTTATCGTCGAGCACCGCAGCAGCTTGTCTCGGCAGGCCGTGGCATCCCTGATGACGTCTCCGACCATGAGGACTTCGTTCGGCGCACTGTCTTGGCCTACCAGGAGAAGAGGAAGGCCGACGCCCACGACACAGGCCTCAGCCACCTCCGGCTCCTGCAGGAGTCGATTCAGGAAGTTGGCATGCGTCTGTGCAGGGAGACGGCGAGCATCCGCGAAGACCTCGTCTTGGAAGACCGGCTGGGCACCACGATGCGTCTTCTCAGAGCCATAGAAAACCAAGCTGCTGGCGCAATCTCCCGCTGTCTTCACATGTACCCGGCCCTGGCGGCCTTGGTGGACAACCCATATGAATTGGGAGGAAACCTCTCGGCCCGCTTACGTCGTCTCCGCGACCACGCTGTGGAACTCGTCCGGGAGCACGCGCTGGACGAGCTTGGCAAGGCAACTGCAGCGGCCAAGGGGGACGACCCGGAGCGCGCGGCCAGGGCCAAACGGAAGTACAGCCACATCCTCTATAAGTTGATGCCCGGGCGCAGTGGGTCGATACGGGCCGTCCAGAAGCGCAACGGCGAGTTTGCAACCGAGGCGGACGATATGGCAGCCACCCTCCGGTCACATTGGAGCGACGTATTCAAAGCCAGGGGGGTGGACGAGCTACTTCTTCAGACGTGGTTGGACGAGGACCGGGCCTCGCGGGAGCCGCCCTCGGCCGGGAGCGGGTTGGGGGCGCCTTCACACAGGGCGCTACAGAACCTGCGGATCACCAAGCGGCACATTCGGAAGGCGATCGACGCGGCTGGCAGGAGCGCCCCGGGCCCAGATGGCATCCCTTACCGCGCTTGGGCGCAGTTGGGGAAGCTCGCAGTGGACGTCCTCCACGAGGCCTTAGTTGAGTTGAGCGGCGAGGACGCGGAGACGCTTCTGGAGCAGCACATGCCGAGCTTCAACGAAAGTTTGCTGATGTTCCTGCCCAAGAAGGCGGCCGGCACCACAGAGAGCGGGGATGAGTACTTTCTGCCTGGTGGGGTCCGCCCCCTCAACATCACAAATACGTGCAACCGGCTCCTGGCGAGCGCGGTTCGGATTGCCCTGGAGCCGGCGTTGGCCCCTCTCATCACGCAGGACCAAAAGGGGTTTCTCACAGGCCGCTCCATGGTCTCCAACCTGCTGGACATTGACGAGGCTATGATCCTGGAGGCGGCAGAAGCGGAAGGGGCCTACGCGATCTTCTTCGACTTCGCGGCGGCTTTTCCGTCGATAGAGCACGAGTTCTTTCAGCAGTTCTTCAGGGCACTGGGATGGCCAACGTGGCTCTGTAGCTTCATCCGCAGCCTGCACTGGAACAACCATTGCTTCATCACCGTCGGCGGCGGGCGGCAGGACGGCTTCAGCATCACCCGGGGCATCAGGCAAGGATGTCCGCTATCGCCGCTTCTCTTCGCGGCTGCTTCGGATCTCTACCTCCGCTGGATGGCTCGGCGGTTCCCTCGTGCCACATTGCGAGCCTGGGCAGATGACCTGGCGACGGTGCTGCCCGAGGGGATTCGGCACGCGGGGGAGCTCCAGGCCTTCTTCAGCGAGTTTGCTCGGATTTCAGGCCTGGTGTTGAATGTGCCGAAAACAGTTCTGCTGCCGCTGGACCCATGTGATTTGGCGGGTGTCCGCGATGACCTGACTCGGGCTGCCCCGGGATGGGGAAGCGTGGAAGTGGCCGCTGCTGCCAAGTACTTGGGCGTGTACGTGGGGCCAGGGCGCGAGGATGCGTCCTGGAAGGCGCCCTTGGAGAAATTCTTGACTCGCGCTCAGCTCCGGGGCCGGCTCGGAGTGGGTTGCAGCTGTCACTGCGGGCTTACAGTGTCCACGTGTCGTCGGTGCTCCTGTTCGTGGGGCAGTTCGAGGCCGTGCCAGCAGACTGGCTAGACTGGGAAAAGAGGGCGTGCGCAGCGCTGCTCCCAGGCCCCTCCGACTGGATGAGCCCAGGCTGCCTGCTGGAGCTGACGGAGCCTCACTATCTTGTCGCCATGAAGGACGCGGCGAGAACCGTCGTGGCGGCCAAGGCACGCGCGGCGAAGTGGGAGGCCCAAGGCGCCCTCCGAATTCCAGAGAGGGCTCGCGCATTGGAGAGTCTTCATTGCGCCATGGCCACTTCGTCTTCACTACGCCGGGTGGCCTGGTTGAGCGAGTGGCGCAACAGGGCATTTCTGCTGCAGATCGCCAGGGCGGACGGCCGGGTGCGCGCCGCCAGGGGAGCACCTGGGGCGCGGCCCACGTGGTGGAACGAGCGCATTCGCTGGCAGAGCAAGGCTGCGCTTCTCATCACGCCGACGGTCAAGACGGAAGCGCAGAGGCACTGGCGACGCGAGCTCGGCCGGTGGCCGCTGCGACTACTACCCGGGCGACGTCTGGCACGGGCTCAGCGTGCCTTGGCGGCAGTGGCAGCGCAATGCCAGCCTCGCGTCCTGGCCGCGCGCGTCCGTTTGCAGCTGAACGGTTGGTGCACAAGCCGGCGGTTCCAAGGGCTTGCCCCTTGCCGCCTCGGATGCGGAGCACGCCAAGACAGCGTCGAGCACTTGGCCACTTGCCGTGTCCAGCGGCAGTTGTTTGGGCGATTTCTCCAGATCGCGCCAGCTCCGCGGGAGCACGCCCTGGGCGACTTCCTGCTGCTGGGCGACGCCGTGGCCTCGGCGGCGGGGCAGACGCAGCTCCGCGACCGGGCCTTGGGCATCTACGCCGTGTACCGCCTGCACAACCACCGGCGCTGCGGCGGCCTGCAGCTGGACGAGCTGGAGGGGGCCTTCGCGGAGTACTTGAGAGAGGGCCGACGCGGGCAGGAGACGGACTCCTGAAGGTGATGCATGTTTCGGTGAGTGCATTTGCATGTTAGTTTTCACGCTCTGTTGGGGCAGGGCGTTCTCTCGTGTGTTTGTTCGCTCTCCCTTCCTCCCTCGGCCTCCTCTCGCCTCCGCCTCCGCCTCCTCGCCCTCCTCTTCCCCCCTCCTCCAGGGGTGCGGCGCCGCGCCGAGTCCGTGACATTCGAAATTCGCGTTTTGACGTCCGCTCGGCGTTCCCCCCGGCCCATCCGGCAGGGCGGCGGAGGCCGCGGGTCAGGCGAGCTGCGGCACAACAGCTTCCCCCCCTCCTTCTCTTTCCTCCCGCTCTCGCCTCCCGGAGGCGGAAGGCTGGCTGTCCCCGTTCGGGGTCGGCCTGCTCTTCGCCTCCTCTTCCGGTCTCCTTCTCGCTCCCCCCCGAGCCCGCATCGAGGGGCAGTAATTGGCGCTTGCGCCGGTGCACGCGGAGGCGGCTGGTGATGGGCCCTCCGGTTTCGCCGGCCGCTCCCTGACCGGGGAGTCGCCACGAACCCGCATTGTCCTGTGGTGCCGGCCGCCTACGCCGACAGCGTGGCCGTCTTGATATGCGGTAGGGCCGCATTCAGAAGCCTGGGGAGCGCACGCGTCAGATGTATGGCACTTCGCCCGCTAGTTGTGGTGCTCCTTGCGCGCCACCTCCTTGCTTCCTGTTTTCTTCGTCCTGCTCCTTCCTCTCCGTTCCGCTTGATTTCGTGGTCGGGGATTCTTCTCAATGTTGGGTGGAGATGCGAGCTGCCTCCATGCTCCAAGGTTCATTGTTTTAGCCTCTGGCGCGATTTCGCCGGGTGCGGCAGGCCTCCTCCTCCTCCTCCTCCTCCTCTTCTTGCTTCCTCCTCCTCCCGGGTCCGGGGGCATTGTGGAGAGGGCGGCCATTCTTATAAGCCATCTTTCGCTTCGGCCGGGCGCTCCAACTCCATTCTGACGCACGGCATTTGAGGTGGCTCAGTGGTCTCATGATTGCGTCGATGAGCTTGGCATCGTGCTGCTGTGTCCGCTCCCCCTCCCCCCCTCCAAAATTGCGCTGGGAAAAATATTTTCCGACCTCCGCAAAAGGCGCGGAAGACTTCATCGAAATTCATGGAGGCATTGCGCAATTCAGGGGAGACCACGTGGATCATATCAAACGAGGGGCGGAAGGTTTGGGCGGAAGGTCAGGAAGAATGAGGGGGAGGGACAGCTTACTTTCTTGAGGTCGCGGCCTGGGGGACAAGAGTGGTGGAGGGTCTTGGTAGTTTGGCATGTTTCCGACACAAGAGCATCATTACGGTAGTTTGGGTGGAGCCCCCGCAAGTGTAGCAGTGGGGTCAATGTGGGGTCGGCAAGGGTAGCAGAAAGGGGCCCTTCACGGCCCCTAAAAGGCCCTTTAGGGTCCAGGGGCCTTCAGGGCTCGAAAAGGGCACGATACGTTCGTGTCGTGTCGACCGGCGGCGACCCCGCCGCCAGCGTTCAATGTTGAACGCCGCCGGCGATCCAGAATCGGTCGAAGTTGAACAATTTGACCTTTCGGAACCACCTTGACAGATGAGTAAGAACCCCTGAGTGCAAGGAATGCCCGGGGAATTAGTTCCGTTGCGGGCGTTTCCTGGCCATGCCGCATGCCGCTCGGCCGCACGACGGCCCCGACCTCCAACACGTCACCAGCTAAGCTACCCACACATGCAACCAACAATCAAACTCAACAACCAAAGACGACCCCTAGCGTCAGAGTCACGCCTACGACAACGTTGCTACAAGCACCCCGCACCAAAGCAATCAGCATGTGGTCTCCCTCAAGACCAGCTATACCAAGCCACTCACCACCACCAGTGCTACAAATACTAATCACCTGCCCACCACACGTGGAGATCATGCCACAGCGATGGTGACAGATGTACCTCTCAACAACATTGCTCGACAGACGTATGCCACCCTGCATACCTACTTCCCAAACCCACGCAGCACAAGTCATCGCAGCACACAACGCAGCAGCGAGAAGAGGCGACCAGCATATTCTCGTCTGCAACCTGCGCATCATCTTTGTAAATAATACATGGGACCTGACCTTTCACAGCTAGATCGACAGGCTCCGCTCACACCAGACGCGCCACGAGATCTACGTCAACAGACTCCACGGCCTTCCTCCCACGGGAGTGCTTTTCAAAGAGCCTCCGCCCAGGCAGACTGTAAGACTGTGCAAGACACCACCCACGCCCAAACCTACGAGCTTACACGACGCATGCAACACAGCAGACTGAGCACACAATAGTAGCAGCTTGCCACGACACCAACCTCACGTACCCGTGGCTCTTCTATTACCGCAGGAGAACATCAATTGAGCCTCATCCCTAGCTGCACAGTGCGCACATTACGGGTAAACACGTGTCGACTCCCGTCTCCATCGATCTATTTGCCAGTTATGTATTTCACCCCCTTGCCCATCCGACACGCTGGTGGCTCCTCACTTTCAGTAATCTAAGGTTTGTGGTTAGCCGTCAAAGCCCTGGGAAGCAACCCAAGAATTGTTAGTTACATGTGAGGGGGCCTGTTACAGGACACCCTCCTTATATCCAGCCAACACACCGTGCGTACTTTGGGTTCCCAGTCAGGGTGCGACCCCACTTATCGAGCTAGATGCGTGCTGCCACTAGAGGACCCTGTAGCATGTTGCGCCCTCTCGCTTTGTTGCGAACCAGCCTCGGGCTCTTACAGTGTGGAGTGCCCGCCCAGGGCACGACGCTATCTTTTAATGCATGTCGACCGCACTTCGTGCGAATTGCTTTTACCTCCTTCTCTTCATACCTCTACTGTCGCTGCCTACACCGCCCGTTCTCTTGACATGCTGGTCGCGCGCCCCGCTCAGCTTCGACGGTTTGGGGTCAACCAGAAACCGCTGCCCGCAGCTCGGGCAATATTTTACTGCCATGCCAGTACCGACGCCAGCCTACAAAGGCCAGCATACGGCGCCATCGTAGAAACGTGCTGCCATTGAACAAAAGGGCCTTGTAACACAGCGCGCCTTTTTTTGCGCACCAGCCTATAGCTCCTACGCTGTGGAGTGCTTGTCTAGGGCACGACGCTATCCTATATACCTGTTTGTCTTCATATTTCCGACTGTCGCTTCCGACGCCTTCCCGTTGTTTTGGCATGTTGTTGGTGCATCTTTCTCAGCAGGCCAGCCTACAAAAGGCCAGCCTGCAGCGCCATCATAGGTCATCCTACATGTTTGTTGCAGGCTGCACACAGCAAGCCTGTATCTACACGGGCTGTGATTTCTTGCGCATATTCGTGTGGCGAATACCGTTCCGAGGCTCATTGGCAACGATATTTCGTGTTAAACCCGACTTGAACATTACAACCCGATCCAGAATCGGTCGAAGTTGAACAAGTTGACCTCTCGGAACCACCTTGACAGAGGAGTAAGAACCCCTGAGTGCAAGGAATGCCCGGGGAATTAGTTCCGTTGCGGGCGCTGAGTGGCCATGCCGCATGCCGCTCGGGAAGCGATATACCATAGTATTCGTGTACTGTATGTTTGTGTAAGACATACGCCTCCAGCACCAGCACGTAGTACTAGTAAGTCCAAGGCGTGGGCCCAGGCGCCGTCGACCAACGCGTCCCAAAAGTGCAATGTTCGAAAGTGCAGTGCTCGACCAACTGCGTCCCAAGAGTGCACTGCTCGACCAATGCGGCCAGCAGCGTCCCAAAAGTGTAGTGCTTGTCGCACCGCGTACAGCATCAACCAGTACAGTCAACGTGCCTAGTAAGGACGCGCGCCTTCATCTAGGGTACCCTTGTGTTCTTGCCTCTGCGGCCCGTCTTTTGCCGTTTTCGCTTGTCGCCCGCCGCCCAACAAATCCCAACCTCGGCCTCCAAGGGTCTTGCGTCCTTGCCACCCGTTCTGAATACACTTTTTGACCGTCGTCCCTCCTGCGCCCCAACAGCACAGTGCTCGACCGACGCGTGCGCCAAGGCGCTCTCAAGCTGCAGCCGCGGCGGGCGCCTGTGCCCCGCCCCCCCCCGGCAGGGCCGGGGCAGTCGGCCTGCCCACACCCCGCCCCGGCCCCGTGCGCGGCACGCTCCCTCGCGGCCTCGCGCGGCCACGCAGCCGTGTTCCTCGGTGCCCTCGCGGTTTTGGCGTGTTGATGATGACCATGATGATGTTGATGAAGATGACAATGACGAGCATGATGTTGATGACGATCAGATTGTTGTTGTTGATGATTCTGTCGATGTCAATGATGATGCTGGTGATGGTGATGTTGATGATGTTTCTGATGATGCTGCTGATGATGATGATAATACTACTGATGATGCTGATGATGATGATGAGGAGGAGGATGCGAAGGATGAGACACATGATTATGCTGCTGCGACTGATGCTTATGTTTGTTAGTGTGGTATTGTTGCTGCTGCTAATGGTGATCGTGATGATGCTGATAATGATGACGATGATGCTGATGCTGATACTGCAGCTGATTATTAAGATGAATACGATTATGGTTTTGATGGTGATGATGAAAATAGTGATGATGGTGATGGTGATTGTGATGGTGATAGTGGTGATGCTGATGATGTTAGTTGTGGTGGTGATCATGATGCTGATAATGATGGCGGTGATAATGATGATGGTGATGATGGTGATGATGATGACGACGATAACGATGGTGAGGAGGAGGAGGAGGAGGAGCAGGAGCAGGACGTGAGGATGATGATAATGATGGCGGTGTTGATGGTGGTGATGATGGTGATGATGATGATGACACTGATGATGATAGTGATGACGATGACATTCTTGATGCTGATGATGATGACGTGGATGGTGATGATGATGTTGATGACGATGCTGATGAGGATGAGGATGATGATGAGAATGAGGATGCTGATGATGATGGGTCATGATGGTGTTGACGATGATGCAGATGACGATGTTGATGCTGGTGCTGCTGCTGATGATGACGATGATGATGCTCATGGTTATGGTGATAGTGATGATGTTGACGACGACCATGATGCTGAGGATGATGATGCTGATG